CCCCCGTCAAACACATCACCATCCATTATAGAAACGAACTAAATCAGACGCGAAGAACCAACGAAACCAATCAACGCGAAGAACCAAGGAAACCAATCAACGCGAAGAACCAACGAAACCAATCAATCTCCCAAAAACACCCTGGCATCGTCAAACACATCGCCATCCTGTAAACTGTGACGAACACATAAATTGGCACCGTCAAACACATCGCCTATCAGAGCAAATACTCCCACATAGCCATCATGTGTACCTTCAGTTCCGATACGATTAAAACGAACAGAATCCGGGCGCGAAGAACCAATGAGACCAATCAATCTGCCCAAAACACCCTCTGTAAACGGTGGCAAACACGTCCTATCAGAGCAAATACTAAATACTTCCCCCACAACCATATGTAGAACCAATGAAACCAATCAATCTCCCCAAAACACCCTGAAAACGGTGGCAAACACGTCCTAGCAGAGCAAATACTAAATACTTCCCCCACAACCGTCCTCTGTATGCCTTCTTTTTCCACTCCGTCAAAAACATCCCAATTCAGTTCTTTTGAAATGAAGGGGGGAAATCCGTGGGCTTTCCCATCTAATGCACACATAAATTGAATGCCTGGATGAAGACCACAGTCCATGTTCACCACACAGCAATTACGTTAAGCAGTGACAGAGCGAGGGCCGGTTCAACCACACACACTCCATCCATACCCCTCAATCGACGGCTGCACCATCCATACCCCTAAATCGACGGCTGCAGGGCATGACGTATGTGCCAAACGTGCCGATGCCCGATCGTAAGGGGCATCCGATCTGTTGATACCACAGAAGAGTAAACACCCCATCCTAGGCCCCCTCAGACCCGGCCGAATTGTCAGCAGCCCCCCCATCCCTAAACCCCCTCCCACTAGCAACTTCTCTTCCCTCACCTCCCGCATAACTAAACTCGCACCCTTCTGGAATAAAGCTGACATCCAGTCCAAAAGGGGCGTGCAATAATCGCATCTGAACGAATGCACCCCCTAGGCAAATGCAGAGATCGCATAAAAAATACACCCCAACACGGACAACCCGCTTAAATGTGTCATATACCCGCAATAGAACACAGGCCCGAGAAGAACAGCAGCCGTTCGATTACGTAAAACCTGCAAATGGAACCAAAATTCCACAGAATCGGGGCTGAAACAACAAGGACGAGGGAAAGGGGGAGCTAAAAAACGAATGCCACACACACAGACAGCAAAAAGGTGTCGAAGTTCAGTGTCCGTTGGGAATCTCCGCCCTCACTGCACCCGCATCTCACGAGAGAGAATGATGGGGAGGGCTAGAACGGCTGCCACACACAGAGACGGCGAGAGAAGAGGTCAAAAATTCACAGTATCTATTGGGAATCTCCGCCCTCACTGCAACCCCATCTCATAACACTCACTTCCTAGTGCAAGTCAAAGTCCTGCCCCAGCCTCGCCGTACACTATCCCCCCTGGGCATCCGTCCTTCGGCCACGAGGCTTCACCATACCCACAAATCAGCGGCGGCAGATCAATAGTCGACCTGACATCCACATTGCTCGTCACCGAACCGATCCGTTCCTTACCACTCACGACAACGATTAGTCGGCCGCGTCTGAGGCTACCACTTGTTTCAGTGAAAACGCATGTGCAAACAACATTAACCCATCCGTTTTCTGCTCCATTCCGCTCCATGCCACAATCAACACGACGGAAGAGAACCAGATAATCTTCCGCTCTCCTACACAGCGCACCTTTCTCGCACGCACAAACAACCACTAGTCTCACACGCGAACATACTATAAATCACCGCCTGATGATGACTCCGTTCCTCGATCTCCCTCTCTCAAGCACAGTCACGTAGAAAACCGACTTCAATGCGAAAAACCCGTTTGTTTCTTTTCACCTCTCTCTCTCTCTCTCTCACACACACACACACACGCACACACAACCCTCGCCACCTCACAGAGCGAACCCTCCCTCCCTCTCACACACGCACACGCCCACCCACCCCTTGCCACCTCACAGACCGAACCCTCTCTCTCTCTCTCTCTCTCTCAACACACACACACACAACCCTCGCCACCTCACAGAGCGAACCCTCCCTCCCTCTCTTACACACGCACACGCCCACCCACCCCTTGCCACCTCACAGACCGAACCCTCTCTCTCTCTCTCTCTCTCTCTCCAACGACATTTCGACAGCAAGCCAACGATTTCTTCCGGTTCCAGTATCGTACCAAGCCTTGAAAACTCGAAAGACCGACGGAAACATTGAAAAATCGCCCACCTCACCCCGCCCGCGACCACGCTGTTTACAATGTTTACTTCACTGTGCGCAAACGCGCCCCGCAAGCAACGGTATCCTCATACCAATCATGTTCTTCTCAGCACTCTAGCCATATTTCATGAATTCTTACGCGATTACCACAATCATGAAGACGAACAATTGAGACGCAGAATATCAACGAGAGACATCCCATTCCACTGCAACATTACCCAATAAAAAGATCACATGCGTATATATTCACACACTAGTATCAACGAGAGGTGGCTAGCTGGCAATGATGCCTCTTTGCTTACAATGATGCCTCTGCCGAATCTGCCTCCTGAAGCGTCCCCTGCTCGTGGCGGTTGCAACAACTTTCCCCCAAACTGTCGCTCGTTTCCTGCTGCTACTTGTTTCGTCGGCGCCCTGCACGTTCATTTCACAAATACATTCAACAGATGGACGTACGCACAAACATGTTCATGCTTTTCCCCAAACCGCCGCCACAGCGTTAAGCATGGTCGTCGGCCTTCATTCCCCCTCGATACACCCATTAATTCCTCGACTTCCACAGCCCATCTGGCAGAGAACACAGCCTATCTGGCAGAGAACACAGCCTATCTGGCAGAAAACAAAGCCTAACCCATTAAACTTCTATATGTCGACGCCGCGCTGCCGGCCGTAGCTGCACACGTCTCCACACAAACCCCGCCCCCAACTCACCCACCCAGCGAAAGCATCATCAACATAATCCACTGCACCAACCGATGCCGCCACGCATTCGTTCACAACACCCAGGAAACTGTAAAACAGTAATAATTCTTACCCGAGGAATGGTAAAAGTCTCCAATCACCATCAATCTCTCCTTCAATCGCCCCCATCGATCTCACCCACACCCAGATATAGAGCACAAGAGAAGAGAACTAACACATAGAGGCCGTGCCAACGCAAAAGCGAACACACACAAACACACACACACACAACAAAAACATGCGCACACATATATGCTCCATCACGTGCGCACCCGCGTGCGAGCACACACACAAACCACAACGCAAAGAAACGTGCCCACCCTCGTCCACACATTCGACCGCACACATAGAGCACACATACGCGCACCTGTACTATATTCCCAAGAGGGCAATCAACGGGATGATATAGCTGAGAGAACTTTCATAAGAAGATTTTTTTTTAAACTGTTCCTTTCGACTACAACTGCGACACAAAAACTTCGTGCAGACAAAAGACGGACGCTTGCTTGACCACAGAGTCAGATCAACCGCTACCTGCACCATCATACAGTCCATCGAGAGGAGAGGCTCATTTCCACAGGCAACAAAAAATAGAGCGATGAATAAGACGACGAAGGTGTCTTTCCCCTCGAAGGACAAGACAACAAGAGAGAAGACACGACATGAAACCCTAATTCCTTTCTATTTCTCGTCACGGCTCCGAATCGGGCCAAAAAGAACCCCCTTTCCACAAAAATAAAAACGATTATGGTGCGTGATCGAATCAATCACAGTCATGAGACCAAAAACAACGATATATATACACCGTTTCGCTCGCCGCCTTCCGCAAAGGCGGGAGGGGATCCTTACCGCCGCCCTCTTCTACTCGGTCAAACGTTGCCATTGCAACAACATCTTTTACCGCTCGCTCCTCTTCCACAACCTTCTGCTCTGAACCATTTACCCAAGCGGCTTCTATCCATTAATACCCAAAAAAAACAATCACTCAGAGGCCTCTGCCTCGTCACAATTGGATTTCCCTCCAAGCTTCGGCGAGGTATTTCATTATTTCTTGCGTCTAATCTCAGGTCACTACAACCCGCACTGCCGAATTGCATGTTCTGAGTCAAACGGAGGGAGGAGTGTCACAACATAATCAACACCCACACTCCCAAATTACAGTATATCGTGTTCAAAATGTCAAGAGCCAGGTAACTACAATCCACTCTAGTCATTATCGCCATAGCAACCCGATGTAGGAGCGGCCGAGCCTTCCATAAATAGCATTCGCAAGATTCGCTGCCACTGTGGAAGACCAGACGTCAAGTGATGTGTGTGATTGTTGTCTTTTTTGTGTCCCTGGTTGCATTGTCCAAATCCCTCCCTCCCTCCCCTTGAGCCCCGTAATCCACAATCCAACGCTCATAACATTCGGACAAAAGAAGTCCGCACGGGCAGACTCGTGCGGGAACGAATTCACGGACAGGCCGATCGTCGACAACGAAGATCACAAGAGCTGAGAAAGGCACTGGTGAGGTTTAATCCGTGATAAGGAATTCCGGCCTGGGAAGAAGCACCGCAAACGACAGCCAATGTTTACACCACCCCGGCGAATATCATTAATTTGCGCAGACAACGATCAGGGGATTTCGATTACAACAGTTCGGTCACTTCACACACTTTCACCACCAATTGCATACGTACTTAAAATCGAAGTACGCGCAAATTGGACCGTCTTGTACTTTCGAAAATCTTTTGAAAATTATAATTCACAGTAAATTTCGCACGTAAGAGCGCACGAAAAGGAAACCGCCACCTGTGGGCGCCGCCCAACCCCTCGCAACGGTACGTGATCATCAACACCAGCACCCATTAGGTGCTGGGCAATTTCTTCTGCTGGTGATGATCCACCTCTCCAGAATCGCATATCTGTCATCCTCCTTTCTTTCTTTCTCTGTCTCTCTCTCTCTCTCTCTCTCCTCTCTCCCCCCCAACCCCCGCCACCTGTGGGCGCCCAACCCCTCACAGGTTCCAATAGCCGTAACTCCCAATCCCTCACAGGTTCCAATCGCCGTAACTTCCAACCCCTCACAGATTCCAATAGCCATAACTCTCTCTCTCTCTCTCTCTCTCTCTCTCTCTCTCTCTCTCACACACACACACACACACACACACACACACACACACACACACGCATTATTCACGCCTGCTGGCCACACACCTGCAGGACGGGTAGATATCACCCCTTCAGCAACTCTTTATGTCGAGCACTACGCCCACCCCGTTCGTGCTCCGATCCAAGTCATGAACGTAAAGGAAAAAGGTAATCTGAGGGATGACAGGATACAGAGTCTGCTTCTTCGGTTGGGCGGGAAGCTTTCACTCGAAGCTTCCGCACAACCCTCCATCATGTAGGCAACCCTAGAACCATCGACAGGGTAAGGGAGACAGTCATGCAACGCATCGTCATTCGCGTCCAAACACCCACGTGGCTAGCCCAATGAGATACTAATAAATACGCTAGACGCAAATACTCCACCCACTTCCCAGCTCACACGTGCCAGCACCACCTAGCCTCCACATCCACATTCACTTTCCACATGCTGGACCTGACCATCATCCAAGCACGATTACCCACAACGTCTATACTCCCAAGCGGAACGTAAAAGCAACGTCCACTTCACACGACCTTTGTCCAACAGCATTGTTCACTTCGTCAAAGCACAAGCACAGCGCAGCACAGGATCTCCATCGCGGTGACCCGCTCCTCCCCGCACATCTGCGCTAAGAGACAGGCCGACTTCTTGACCACCTGCCCCCGCCTTTGGCAACCTATACCCGCACCCTCATCTCCCAACAGCATCGACATGGTTACCCTCCAGCACCGAGCAAGAATGGCAAGCGATGGAGACGTGGATGGTGAAATGCTTCACCCTCCCTTTCCCGCCCCCCTTCACGACTTCCAAACGGCGCAGTCTCAGCCCCAACAGCATCGCTATGGTTATCCCACAACACCAAGCAAGAAGGGCAAGCAATCGAACTGCGGCTTGTAACACGCATCCTCGTTTCCTGCCCCCCTTCTTCACGACTCCCGAAGGCCGCAGGATGGGTAGTACAATATTTCGGCGTGAAGGCCGGAGGATGGGTAGTACAATATTTCGGCCGCAGGATGGGTAGTACAATATTTCGGCCGCAGGATGGGTAGTACAACATTTCGGGTTTTGAAGACGTGCAACGAACAAATCTTTTGGGAGCAAACAAAAGGACTTACGGACGCCAGCGGCGTCGACTTTCTGGAGGTCATTGACAAGACGTGGTGCAGTGCGAAAGGGCGAAAATTCACAACAGAGAAGGGAAAGTCTGCACCGCGGCAGCACGACGCAGTTGTGCTATAGTCTGGACAAGTCCTGGACTATTGTTTAATGGACAAAACCTGGCTAACACGGATTCGTCGGAGAGAAATGGACTCGTCGAACATCTGCACACCTGATAAACAACCTCCACCGACTCATAGAGTCCATTCGTCTGAGACCTCCGTTAATCTACTTTCTTAACTGCATGCAAACGGCTTATTTGGATTGTAATGAGTAATATTGTGAATTCACAATCATTGAGTTTAATTTATTTCCGACCTAAATTGTAAATTTATGATAGCCATATTGCTGCTTTCTAAATTGGTAAGAGCACACACCTCTTTTTCTTCTAGTCACACGCTGATGTCACACGCTGACGTTGGGGAAATATTTAATCGAAAAGCAATCGACTTCATCTGCCATATCATCTACTACTCTCTCGAGATGCAATTTCATTGGCCCATTGTGCCTTCGCGTTTCTGAGGCTAGTGTTGCAAGAGACATACAGAAGTAATTCCACTGCTCCATTCTGCATTCTGTACCGCACATCACTGCAGTTCCAAGTATTACTTATCCCGTGGGCTAGAGAGAGATCCGGGTTGGTTGGTGTCCACCCGTACTATACATAGTACTAGCGAGAGGATGAGACAGATGAGTACTGGCAAGAAGAAGAGAGAGATGAGAGAAGAATAAAGCTTACTTAAAATAATAATAATAAATAAATAAAAATAATAAAACGTAATAGTTATGCACATAACATAAACGAACACCCAGATACTCGACTTCCAGAAGTCTTACTGACACTCGAAGAAAAAACCGATTCTACACGCTCCGCGTTCATCGATGTATGAAAACACGATTCACGACGCAAAGAACGAATGAAACGGAGATGATGATAATGGTTGAAGATGGTGAGCGGGGAGGAGAGCAGGGAGGGGCGACAGGGAGACCAATGCCACATAAGCGACACAACACTCCTAGGGTCGTGCGCGTGGTGTCACACAGCATACACGTCATGGACGAAAATGAACGAGGGAATGCACGCAGCAGGAATGAAGCAAGAAAGAACGAATGAACGAACGAACGAATGGATACGACAGTGTTATGGATGGGGGGTTGATGAGTTGGTGACAGTACTCTTCCTTGACTTGCAAAGTGGGCTTTGGTCTTGCAGAAGGCACCCTTCGAACAATCACGGAAGTATTCTTCGGCACCAAAAACGACTCATCTGTATAGTCTGTTATTAACGGGAAAACGCCAAAGACAGTACGACGTCGCAGGCCACGGGCTGAGTATTTTCCTTTCCGCCGAAAAACAACGTGCCAACGGCAAACAGGCTCCCTCCGACCTCAACACTGGTTGCCTGTCTGCCTTCCACTTCATTCTGATTGCCAGCTTCCTCTTTCCCCCTGCCTGCCTGATGCCGTGGGCCTCTCTTCCGACCATCACAACTCCAGACTTAAACGACGTCCCTGCGAAGCAAGCTTAGTAGGAACAATGGCCACTCAACCGTCCATACACCAAGACAAAAACAACACAAAACACGACGCATGACGGGCACTCAAGGGAACCACGTCCTTTATCCTCCCTCAGCACGTCTCTACCCCCCCGCCTACTTAGCATGCATACAGATCACGATCAACAACATGACTCTTCATTCGTCTATATGCAAGCAACAAGTGGGCATGTGTGACGTTAACTGCTCCCGTGCCTCACCCCGGCCCCCCCCGGGCACCACTCCCCCACCCCATTCTAACAATGATGCCCTCTTTTCACATCAATTGACGCTTAAATTATATGCCCTTGAATGATTTCATGGCGCCGACGACCCCCCCCCACACAAGCCTCAAATGATATACACCCCTTTTTCCCCTCTGAATGACCACTAATTACACGGACCTTTAAAAACTTTTTATTAATTCCTCCAGGACTCAACACATCGAACACAACCGACATCCCTCTACTACACCATGACACACCCTCTCAACGCCAAAAAAAGCATCCACCTGATTATTGACAAAGAAAGTCCCGTTTTGTGTCCAGTGTACAAATGATGCATACGCAGTTCATGTGATTGTCTGGACATAGATTTAGATTTCAACCACTTCTGTTTTCGACCTTCGACAGCAAACAACGCACTTACAAGCCCCCCCACCTCTTCTACCCTCTTCTTGCTAGACAGAGGAACTCCATGTGTCAACTAGGTTTATTTCAATTAATCTGAAGAGTTATTTCAATTAATTTGAAGAGGCGCAACCTATTCCGTTGCACCTCTATGATTTATTTCCTTGCACGTCTCAAGACGATCACCCCGCTGGAACTGGAGGCAACCAAAACGGGACCCCTCGAAAAATTTCGCCCCGCGGGATACCGTCCATTGCGTGAAGGTTAGCCAACTTCGTTAAATTGCGACATTCAAATTTTGGCTTCCATGCACACACTGCCATGCAGGACTACACTGTCTGCCATCCCCCCCCTCTCACACTCTCATGATAACCATGTGGAATCTTCTTTGAACATCGTGCTCCCCTCGTCCCCAAAACATACGCCACATTTTTGACCTCGTGATTCCCAACAACCCCCCCGCACCACGGCCCTCTTCGTTTCACTCAAAAACGTCTGCCCGTTATATCTACTTCTCTTCCCGTTCCCGAACTTCAGCTGTGCATCCGCATACAACGGTCGTTAGTTTTTAATTTTCACGCCAAGACCGCCCGTCCGAGGAGGTTAG